GAGTAAACAAAACAGTTGGATTTTTAAAACTGGGCCAGTTACAATTCTCGTGTGGCACGTTCGGATCACGTTTTGCATTTATTGCAAGTTTCAGGAGATCGTTTCATAAAAGCAATTTTAAAACGATATTTTTATAAATCGTTTGCTGGATGTTTTGGTATTTATATAATAACAGTATAGTTTTTTGCTATTTGTAAATAAATATAATAATAATAAACCGGGACAATTTACACAGCGCCATCTAGTTTCAAGATAAGCAGAGCTTGTATTGTGGGTACTCAACAACTGATAGAAACATCTACTTAAATATAATAGTAAGCATCCAGACCGATACAAACAATCATACTGTAGAATAAATTAAAATTATAATGGTTTACATTATAATTATAATTTTTTAAGTATATAGATCCAATTGAGAAGAACTGGCAAGAAACTGAATTGATTTTTTTTTTTAAAGCCAGGTTATTTACAATGTATATTTATATAGGTGTCTATGTCTAACATTAAATAAAAATCCCGTGCATGAACAACTATTGCCATGCACGCTCGTCATTCAAGTAATCGTTTAGTGAGTAATAGGCCTTGCTCAGTAAATTTGATTTAACAGATGTTTTGAATTTATTCAAGGGTAATTCCAATATATCCCTTGGTATCTTATTGTAAATTTTTATACCTATTCCCATAAAAGACCTATTGATTTTTCTAAACGATACTTGGGGACAGCAAGTTTGTCTTTAAATCTAGTATTATATAAAAATGTATCTATGTATTTGTATTATATTATCTGATATCTAATATCCTATCTAATATATTATCTAACTAGCATTTGCCCGCGGCTTCGCTCGCGTTAAGAAGTATTATTATTAGGTATAGTTTTTGCGGCTTTACAGTACTGTCATACAAATTTTCATCTCCTATTTTATCCCCTTAGGGATGGAATTTATCAAAATTCTTTCATAGGGGATGCCTACGTCATAGTAGCTTTATGTATGCATAGTCTCAGTTCGATCGGTTTAAAATTGACAAACTTTCAACCCCTATTTTATCCCCTTGGGGGTAGAATTAATCAAATATCTATCTTAGCGGATGCCTACGTCATAACATCTACCTGCATGCCAAATTTCAGCCCGATCCGTCCAGTGGTGGGCTGTGCGTTGATAGATCACTATGTCAGTCACCTTTGAGTTATATATATATATATATTTAGATGTCCATAAGACAAAAGAGCCGTCTGTAACGTCTGTAAATGTTGATACATAACGTTAATAAACAATTTTGACTTTAAAAATGTTAAATATTCTATCGTACGGAACTACAACGAAGCGAGTCCAGTTTTACACTTGTCCATATGTTTTCTGATTCTTTTTTCGATGTTCTCAATTATTTCTGCGTTTGGACGGTCGGTCGTGTTGTCTGTACGTTGATAGTGGCTATCACGCAACGCGGCGCCATCAATCACTCCCTTACAGAGTATGTACCCGTTCACGACTGACATGGATCTACGAAACAAGTCTTGTTCCGATTTCTTATATAACAACTAGCTGATCACACGTTGTTTTGTCATATAAATAAAAATCACTATAAAAAATAGGGGTTGGTTATAGAAGGTTTTGATTTTTTTAATGCCACATTATAAAATTTTATTTAAAAATAAAAAATAAAAGTTAGAGATGGACAATCCATATCGAGAGATAGTAGCCGATTCTCAGATCATTAATAATGTCACAGATAACATATGATAATGTGATCTGAATATTCATATAGAATTTCATAAGAATCGGTAAAGCCGTTTCGGAGGTAACTAACATTATGACACGAGAATTTTATAATACTATATGACTGGAATTTAGCTTTATTTTTTATTAATGAAATATTTTTTCTAAAATAAAAGTAAAAGTAGTAATAAAAGTAGCCTAAGTCGTTATCACATCAGCTACCTGCCAAAAAAAGTCCCGTCAAAATCGGTCCGGCCGTTTCAGATATTAGCCGGAACAAACAGACAGACAGATAAAAATTGTAAAAAATGTTATTTTGGTGTATGAACCTTATTTATATTTATATACATGTAGCAATAAACGGTTATTTCAATATTACAAACAGACATTTCAATTTTATTTATATGTATAGATTATATTCCGCGATTACCTACGAAACTTTTTTACTATATCTGCATTACAAACTTAAATACAGCTTACAAAACTCAATATTACCGTTTTAATATAATATTAAAATAATATAAAATTGAATTACATTAAGCTATATCCATTTATATAATTGTAGAATTACTAACTCGTTGTCTGTGGTAATGGATTCTTCACGAATGCTCAAGGTTGGGTAATTAATGTGGAAAAAAATGTGTGTTGTGTTTTGTTTTCGCGTTCGAGAGCGATTATGTTTGTTTTGTACGGGGTTCTACGTGACCTATAATTTAATTTGAACTTAGGCATACTTTGAACAAAGTCTATATTTGCGTGGGTAATTCTGTCTCACCTATTTCTGCCGTAGTAGCTTTGGTTGTAACTTGTAGTGAGATATTTTGTTCTACTACTTCGGTGGCAAACAAGTTTACGGCCCATCTGATTGTGAATAGTTACCGTAGCCTACGGTAGCCTGTGACACCAGGGGTGTAACGTGCGCGTTGTCGACACCTAAGAAACCTTAATATACCCTTCTTGAAGAACCCCATGCTGTAGTCTCGTGGAAAAACCTCGGCAGGAAGTTCAATCCACATTTTAAGTGTACGCGGGAGGAAGCTCCTCTGAAACCGCACTGTCCGATACCACTTATGCCTATTTACACTCAACCCGAGTGGGCAGGGAAGTGAGCAGCGCGAGAGTGTAAACACGAGTGGAAATACTTCCTATGCAATTGCCCCGCGCTCCCTCGATTGTCGGTTTTTCGTGCGCGAGTCAAAGGACTGGCAGCGCGAGTGGCAGCGTGTTTTTACATTCAGCCCTCTCGCTCAGTTGTCGCCCGGCAATATTTCCGGCAGCGCGAGTGGCAGGGGAAGCGGCTGAATATAAAAGTAGCATTAGGTTAACGTATGAGGATGAATATGGCAGTCAAATTACAAAGAACGATTTTTTCCCTAACATTCAGTTCAGATTCAATTGAGAGGAATTGCCAAGAAACTCAAGTATTATTTTTTTTTTTTTTTCTCCGAGTACATTTGCGATCAGTCCCAGGACTATAAGCAAATATGTTCTGTGATGCTGTCATGTAGAGCGGCTTCCCATTGGAAACCTTACTCATCTGCATCCCAGAGCTACTGCCGATCTTCTAGCTCCAGGATATGATGGCGTTTTAGTCTCACATGCTGTTCTATGGTGAGTTGTCGAGCAAGTTTGTTGGGGTGATGAATCAACCGTTCTTTATATTTGGCTGCCAAATTCAGAATCCCTCCTTCACTGTTCTTATTTGAAGGTGGTCATGGACTTCAGTGTTGGTTATGTACCATGGTATTTGTGCAATGGTTCTTAAGATTTGTTTTGTTGGCGCTGGAGAATATTTATGTTTCTTAAAGTCCATTTCTTAATATTATTTATATTAACGATGGCCTCAATGGTTCTGCGGTTTAATTCTGATGATCGCAGGTTCCATTCCTCGCACGATACAAATATTTGTATTCAAGAGTATGATTGTTTGTATCGGTCCTTCTGTCTTTTGTCTATCATCATAATTATTATCATCAGACTACTGCAGTCCACTGCTGGACATAGGCCTCTCCCAAGGCACGTCACTAGGCACGATCTTCAGCCCTTCTTCCACTTACTATCCGCAACCCAACGTATGTCGTCGCTCCACCTAGCTGCGGGGCATCCTACACTACGCTTGCCAATTTGCGGTCTCCACTCTAAAACACGTTTTATGTATAGTATGTATATATTTACAAAGAAAATGTGTATAAGTTTTTACATTAGTTGTCCAGTACCAATAACACAAGCTTTGCTTACCGTGAGTCTATGTAGCGTTGTGTGAATTGTCCAGAGTTAGTCCAGAGTTATTAGAGTTGTTAAGTTCGTTGATTAAACGGTGAAATTAAGAAGGAAACGTTTGAACGTCCCTCAAAATATTGAATTAGTACCAAAGAGCCGGGGTCATCCAGCGAAAAATGCTCGCACGGGAGATTTTATCTCATTACCCAACCTCTATTGTAACGCTTCCCAAATAAAAAACCTATTATCATCACTCAAAGGAATTTTTTCATAATCCACGCGGTGGAGTGCTGAAAGATGCTTATTAAAATTAAAAAATAAATTACCTCGCGCGCCATTTTGGATTGCTATTTGTGGCGGGAATTATTCAGATATTTTTTGTGAATGTAACACGTTATATACGTCAGAGGTAGTCTGTAAAAATGTGTACGGGGTACCTACCACACTTCTTTACTTCTGAAGGTCGTGGGTTCGATTCTTAAAAGTGTACGGGGTACCTACCTTCATTTCTCTGACAGCCTCGGTGGTCTTTAGCACACTTCTTTACTTCTGAAGGTCGTGGGTTCGATTCTTCGCACGGTGCAAACATTTGTATTCATGAGTATGATTGTTTGTATCGGTCTGGGTATTTTCTATGTGTAGTATCTATTTATTTACAAAAAAAAGTATGTATGTATTTATATCAGTTGTTATTTATAATGTTATGGGTACTAGCCATAACATTAGATCTGTTTAGATGGCATTGTAATTGTCCAAGAAAAAAAAGAAAGAATTCTCTGACAGCCTCGATGGTCTAGCGGTTTACCACACACTTCCGATGGTCGCGGGTTCGATTCCTCGCACGGTGAACACATTTGTATTCATGAGTATGATTGTTTGTATCGGTCTGGGTGTTTCCTGTGTATATTATGTATGCATTTATAAAAAAAAAGTATCTATATACTAGTAGTAGTCAGTTGACTAGTACCCATAACACTAGCTCAGCTTAACTTGGGACTAGATGGCGCTGTGTGAATTGTCCTTAGATATTATTATTAATATTCTATGGTAATATTAATGTTTCAGATGTACCCAATTTGCCAAGGAAACATAACACAAGGCGTTTACCCCTGGATTGCAACGATTTTCATTAAAAACACCACATTGGACAACCAGTTCGAGTATTTCTGCGACGGTGCCGTGTTATCTGAGAGGACAATACTAACAGGTAAGAACAGCTATGAACAGGTCTTTCATGTTATTGTAATGACAAACAAACTTACCACCTGATGGTAAGTGGTAACCGTCGATTACATACATGAATAGCACTACGGACATGACGTTATAATGTGACACCCGTGATACCACTCATGCGTTGTAATTCCAGGCATTTCAGAGATTAGCCGGAACAAACAGACAGACAGACAAAAATTGTAAAAAATGTGTAAGTGTATTTTAGTGTAAGTACCGTATTTATATTCATATGCATGTAGTAAGAGACGGTTATTTCAATATTACAAATAGACACTCCAATTTTATTTATATGTATAGATTATATTATTATTATTCTTATTATTTCACTAATCGATGTATTTATTAAGAAAAATCAACCAATAAGTAACTGTCTCAATTGTGCCCTCTCCCGACTTTCCTCTTTTAAAGCAAAATGGTATTCAAGAGAAAATTGACGTCAGACCACTGAGATGAACGAGTAAAGCAGTCTCTTGTACAATATATGTATGAACTGAACGGTAGAGAAAAAATATTAATACAAAAAACTTGACGTTCATAAGCAGCTACAATGAATAAATGATTTCAGATATGATATAATATTGTAGTGTACTTCATTAATAGTATATCTGTTTGATAAAAAAATATGTAATTTAATAGTAAAATGACGTCATTTTACTTTATTCATATTAAACATACTCTCTCTCTCTTCCCAGCTATGTATCCCATATGGTGGTGGGGTCAGCTTTCCTTGTTTTTCTCGTCGTTAGAAAAATCGTCTTCAGAAACCTTACACTCCACCATATCTCCAGCAATTACATCTTTCCACCCCTTCCTTGGTCTGCCTCTTTTACCGGGGATGGAAGCGCCAGCTGTAGCGCCAGATTGCCAGAGTTCCTCGTACGCACTCGTTGCGAATTTTATTGAGTCTGGTTATGCCGCACATCCACCTCAGCATCTTCATTTCGGTAACTTGGATGGTATGCACGTTCTTCTGGGTTACAGCCCATGTTTCACTGCCATAGATGAGAACAGGTCTTACAATCGATTTGTAGATCAAACCTTTCAGTTTAACCGGCATTCTTATTAATACGTTTTAATAATTATGTACAGGAATGAACTGCCTGCTGAAGATTATTAAGGTTTCTTAAAGGTCGGCAACGCGTGACTCCCCTCTGATCGATCCTTAGTCCAATTCAAACGTGGGTCGAAATTACCACGGCCTGAGCCCAGGTTTGAACCACTATCGGTGTCATCAGACTCGCTCGACATCAGAACTCGCATCTGTCAGGCGGGAGTTCGCCTTTATCTGCTCCATAAGTCCTTTGGTTTGGAGTGCCATTTGCACTCGCCTCATAACGTCCGGTGAAGCTGTAAAGACCAACTGCGGCCAACAGCTTTGGAGTAGTTTGAAAAAATTGGCACCCCTGGTGTTTCAGGTGTTCATAGGCTACGGTAACGTTTACCATCAGATGGGGCGTATGCTTGACTGCCATCACTGTTATAGTATAAAAGAAATACAATATATCTGCACTTATTAGTGTCAGTGGCCTATGTCCAGCAGTAGACGTCTTCCGGGCTGAGACGATGATGACAATGATTAGTGTCAGAAGCTTGACTGCCATAGTATAAAAAAAGAAAATATATTTGTGTCAGCTCTATTTTAGTATCCGTGTTCCTCTCTCGTTTCTCCTTTGATCCACTCAGAAAAAGTGGCTAATTTAATTATGACTGGCGACATCCTTCCTTTTGTCGTAGTCTGGACAATGAAGATTGGCTCATTGGATGAACAAATTAACAGCATATTGATAAACGAGGAATTCCGTTTATTTATTTATTTCAAGCGACGAATGTTCCATAATATAAATACCTTATAGACCAACATACATATGAATTAATATTATCATCATTATTACATAGTATAAAACAAAGTCGCTGTAGCTGTCCGTCCCTATATATGCTTAAATCTTTAAAACTACGCAACGGATTTTGAAGCGGTTTTTTTTAATAGATAGAGTGATTCAAGAGGATGGTTTATATATATATATAATACATGTACGGCGAAGCCGGGGCGAGTAACTAGTAATCTTATAAAACTCTCGTGTCACAATGTTAGTTACCATACTCCTCCGAAACGGGTTGACCGATTTTTATGAAGCTTTACATGCATATAGTAAGTCTGAGAATCGGCTACTATCTATTTTTCACACCCCTAATTGATAAGATTTGTCTTGCCTAAAATTGTTTTACATTTTACACATATTTTTTTTTATAATGTGGCATTAAAAAATACATACAACTCTAAACTTTCACCCTTCTATCACTAACGCCTATTTTTTAATAGCGATTTTAATTTATATGGTAACAATCTTCTAAATATATATAACTCAAAGGTGACTGACTGACATAGTGATCTGTCAACGCACAGCCCAAACCACTGGACGGATCGGGCTGAAATTTGGCATACAGGTAGATGTTATGACGGAGGCATCCGCTAGGAAAGGATTTTGATTAATTCTACTCCGAAGGGGATAAAATAGGGGATGAAACTTTGTCGATTTTAAATCGATCGGGCTGAGACTTTGCATGCATAAAGTTACTATGACGTAGGCATCCCCTAAGAAAGGATTTTGATAAATTCGACCCATAAGGGAATAAAATAGGGGATGAAAGTTTATATAAATCTTCTTAGATTTTCGACTGATTGAACTGAAATTAAAGACTGGAGCTACTATGATGAAGACAATCGCTTAAATAGGATTTTGATAAATTCAACCCCCATGGGGATAAAATAAGGGATGATGCAGGATGTAAATATATTAGTTTGAACCTATCAGTAGCTAATGGAACGAATAAATTAAGACGAACAAAATAATTTTTAGTTCTTTAGGCTACTTTTATTTTAGAAAAATAAAGTTAAATTCCACGCAGACGAAGTCACGGGAACAGCTAGTTACTAATTTAAAATTGTCTTTGTGGTCATGGGCTAAAAAAATGTTTTACATTTTAGTAATAGCAATTTAGCTTCGTGACTGTTATCTTAAGTACGGTCTGGGAACTTTGTATATAGGTACATAGTACAAAGGAGTCTGGTACATACTTCAGTCGTATATAAATAGATGAAGGACTCTAGACTTTCGCAAGGAATAACTTATAAGTTTAAATATCATTTATTCTTGTTTATTAACGAGTGCTGCTTGTAGGGACTCGCTCTAATCACTATTGTATACTAGCTGTACACGCGACTTCGTCCGTGTGGAATTTACCTTTATTTTTCTAATTAAAGAAGCCTAAGTTTCTCCTTATTACGTCAGCTACCTGCCAAAAAAAATCCCGTCAAAATCGGTCCGGCCATTTCAGAGATTAGCCGGAACAAACAGATAGACAAAAATTGTAAAAAAGGTTAATTTGGTGTATGTACCGCATTTATATTCATATGCATGTAATAAAATACGGTTATTTCAATATTACAAACAGACACTCCAATTTTATTTATATGTATAGATTAATATTTGATCCTAATAAATTAATACTAGTTGGTAGTTTGTATTCACACGGTTCGACTTAAAAATGTAAAGTTACAATGATTATTTAAAAGAGCAACACGCGAGTTTCTTGCTCAGTCTTCTTGTGATGAGACTGCTTTCAAAGAGCGGTAAATTAAAAGAAGGATATGATTATTCAAAAGTGCTTAAATTAAGTTTATTTGAATAAATGAGTTGTTATTCTATTCATATAGTGAGATTTCTTGTTGTTAAGAACAATATTCTTCATATTTTTCTTATTAAGTTTTTTTCGTTTATTCTTAAATATAAATTTCTCGTGTCACAGTTTTCACAAAAACATACGTTCCATTCTACTCAGCTTACTCCATTATGGTATATCATTATCATTATCATCCATTATAGTATAAAACAAAGCCGCTGTCGCTGTCTGTCCGTCCCTTCTTTAAAACTACACAACAGATTATGAAGCGGTTATTTTAATAGATAGAGTGATTCAAGAGGAAGGTTTAGGCTGAGGCCATCTATGCGCGGTAAGCAACCAATAAATGTTATCATTTATGCGGGTAGTTACTGCTTAAACTTTGTTACTGCACCGTCTGCATTATATACACCTTCTTTTGTATTTCCACTAATATTTAATTTTGTATAAGTTTATGCTTTTAGTTCTCATGTTAAGTGAATTATTTGTAATTCTTAATGAGAATAAATATCTGAAACCTAACAAAAAAAAACCTAAAATATATATACACCCGTGCGAAGCCGGGACGAGTACCTAGTATAATATAAAAGTGTTTCATGATTCTCAATATTCATTATAAATACAATATATCGTATATTAAAAAACATATGTTATGGTGAATTAGTAAACTGCACGTAATACTTTAATCCCGATGGCCGCGGTTTAGGTTCGGCGATGCAAATGTTTGATGTATTCATGAATGTCACTGTTTGAATCGTTTTTTTCTTTTTCTTTTTTTTTTATTGACAAACAGTATTGATATAAATATATATCTATTAATATATATACCTAGGGTTATTATAACAACTTCTTTTAATATGAATGAAAATGTATCTATAATATATTATTATAAACATGTACAACATTTATTTGAAAAAGCAATACGAGCTATGTTTCTTATCAGTTCTTCTCATCCCGAAATCATTCCGTTGCTTCCATTTAACCGTATTCAGAACTGAGCAGCCAGAATTTTTGGTAATCAACGTCTTTGTGACAGACTCGACCCATTGAAAAGAGCTTATTCCTTTTTAAAAGGCCGACAACGCACTTGCAATTCCCCTGGTGTTGCGGGTGCTCATGGGCGGCGGTAATCACTTACCATCAGGTGAGCCGCATGCTCGTTGTGTTATAAAAAAAAACTGACGGTAGATTTGATATCATAAGAGTCTGTAATAGACCTACATGAATAAAGATATTTTTAATTATGATATTTTTTTATGGACAACTTTGCATTTACCTGACGAGTTACCTTAACTGTTAAAGAGTTCTTTTAATAATCCCATTTAACTGTTAAGTCTTTAAGATCGTTGTTAAAGTATGATAATATATAGTTGAAACTAATTAAATTGGTTCTTACCCTATTCAGGTTCTGTAAATAAGAGTTTTGACAACTCCAAAATGAATTAACTTCTTGTCGTTTGGAACTTCAGTAACAAATAACAAAGTTAGAGCTTTGTTCGAGGGAAATTTATAAGTTTGTAGTAATTAACGGGTGTAATTGGTCTAAATAACATCGCGAGTTTATGGTCAAAGTCATTGCGAACTGATGCTTCCTAACCACTGAGGTAATCGCCGACCTGTTGGTGTTATATTTTGTTTTATGACTAAAGTTTTTTTTAACGATGATAATAGAATGGTGAAGTTTACGCTGGTACCAGCGGAGGATGATAAGATGAACATGAGGTCAGATTAGTTAGCCCAACGTGACAGATTCACGAAGAATTTATCATGGTTTCCAGGGGGAACCGCGTAGAGATCAAACTGATTGTATGATAATAATCTCAGGACAATTCACATAGCGCCATCTAGACCCAAGTTAAGCTAGTTAAAGCTTGTGTTATGGGTATTAGATAACTGATACAAATACATAGATATATATTGTTTTTCGTAAATACATAGAAAACACCCAGACTGATACAAACAATCATACTTATGAATAGAAAAGTCTGCACCGTGCGAGGAATCGAACGCGCGACCATCGGATCTAAACCGCTAGACCACCGAGGTTGTTATTATTATTATTAACAGTTTTTCTTATATATTTATTACTAACTATTCACGCGACTTCGTCCGCGTGGAATTTAACTTTATTTTTCTAAAATAAAAGTAGCATAAGTTACTTCTTATTACATCATCTATCTGCCAAAAATAGTCACGTCAAAATCGGTCCAGCCATTTCAGAGATTAGCCGGAACAAACGGACAGACAGACAAAAATTGTAGAAAATGTTATTTTGGTGTATGTACAGTATTTATATTCATATGCATGTATTAAAAAATCATTATTTCAATATTACAAACAGATATTCCAATTTTATTTATATGTATAGATATACAGACAGTAATCGGTAATATTTTTATTACATGCATGTATAGATGTAAAATATGATTTATGTATAACATCCAAGTATATAAAACCTCCCGCGGGAGAGTGACAGTAATAAATGAAGCCCAACCAAATCTGATTACACACCGGGAAAGAAATTCTACAGATTGTAACGTAATTTTACGTTATATGCGTTTCTCTTAAGGTATAAATGTAGGTATAATATTAATATTATATATATAATCTGTATCTTATCATCACATACATTTCTGGTTTTCTATATTTACTAATTATTCAGTATTCACTCCATCATTACGCAAGGTTTCTGAATAGAGATTCCTCACCCAAGTGCGATAGAAATCTTCTTCAATACTAATAGATTTTTTACCGTAACCTAGCTGTCCCGTCAAACGTTGTTTTGCCTTAAAATAAAAAAAAATTTAGGGATGGACTGCCCCTAACATTTAGGGGGATGAAAAGTAGATGTTGGTCGATTCTCAGACCTACTCAATACGCTCACAAAATTTCATGAGAATCGGTCAAGCCGTTTCGGAGGAGTATGGGAACGAAAACTGTGACACGAGAATTTTATATATAAGATAAATACGTTCCGCTCTACTCAGCTTACTCTATTAAAGTAAATCATTACATAGTATAAAACAAAGTCGCTGTTGCTGTTTGTCCCTATGTATGCTTAAATCTTTAAAACTACGCAATGGATTTTGAAGCTGTTCAAGCTTGATTCAAGAGGAATGTTTATATATATAATACATGTACACCCGGACGAAGCCGGACGAGTAGCTAGTTAACATTATAAATGCGAAAGTTTGTAAGTTCATACTTACAAACTTTCGGATGTTTGATGCTCTTTCACGCAAAAAACTACTAAACGGAATTTGATTGAAACTTTACAGTAGTATAGCTTATGCATCAGAATAATACAGAGGCTATATTTTATACTAACTTTTGCCCGCGGCCTCTCTCGCGTTAATTTATCCCCTTAGGGGTGGAATTTATCAAAATCCTTTCTTAGGGGATGTCTACGTCATAGTAGCTTTATGCATGCAAAGTCTCAGCCCGATTGGGTTAAAATTGACAAAGTTTCATATAAACTTTCATCCCCTATTTATCCCCTTACCCTTGAGGGTAGAATTAATCACAATCCTTTCTTAGCGGATGCCCACGTCATAACATCTACCTGCATGCCAAATTTCAGCCCGATTCGTCCAGTGATTTGGGCTGTGCGTTGATAGATCACTATGTCAGTCACCTTTGAGTTATATATGTATATTTAAGAAGATTGATTGTTAATGCGGGTGACGGGCACAGCTAGTATATTATAAAATACATAAGGGTTGGTGATAGAAAGGTGAAAAGTTAGGGTTGTATGTATTTTTTAATGCCACATTATAAAAAAATAAAAATTATGTCCAAAAATTAAAAAATAATGTTAGTTGTGGACAGCCCTTATTACTAAGGGGGAAAGGTGTATGTTAGTAGTGTGGACTCGACCCCATTACTAGCAATGTACCATGTCAGGTTGACCTCCACGCGGTTCCTCCCGGAAACCATCATGATAAATTCCTGGTGAATTTGTCACGAAGGGCTAACTGACCTGACCTCATGTTCAGCTTATTATTTATTTATTTAATTCAGGCTACATGGCCCATATTATAAATACCTTATAGACTAACATACATAAGAAATAATAATAAAATATGTAAATAAAATTGTCTCTATGGTCACGGCACTGACGACGGCAATCTGCCACGGTAGCGCCGATACAGTACAGTACAGTACTGGCCTTCGGCCAGTAGTCCTCCTTCATATATATCTATCCTCCTCCCTTACTACTAAGGGATATGAAAAATAACCGGAAAATGTTTACAGTCTGACCAAATTTCTAGGTTTTTCTTAAATGTCCGTAATTTACAAACTGCATGGGATAGATTTATTTTATGTTTTTTCTCATGATGGTTTCTCAATCCTCTCACCCCTTTTCGGCTTGACGTTGTGTTCTGGGACAACCTGTATATTTCATAATGTATATTTTCATGTATTATTTTTATATTAGTTGTGTTATCATTTGCAAAACCTACTCTTTTTCTCATATCTTCACCGTCTACCTAAAGGTTGTCTCTCAGACATTGTTTAGTGATCGCCTTTTGCATTCATTATTATGTTTATATATTTTTATATTAATTAATATGTATATATATCTGGTGCAATAAAGTGTATAAATAACTAAAATGGTATTTATATTTCTATTTTCTATTTCTATCACTATCTCTATATCTATCTCTATCTCTATCTCTATTTCTATTATATATGAGTTTCCAATCGAATAAAATAAAGGTAAAACAGTTCGCTACTTTTCAGAGGTAAGTTCTGTAAAATCAATAGAAATCGTTGCAGACGTCTGCAAATAGGACGAAGCGGTTTTCTGAAACGGTCTAAAAAGAATATATCTATTTACTAAGGCAGTGGTTCTCAAACTTCTCTGTAGACGGTCCTCTTTCGTATTTGAATGTAGCTATAAACAAGCACAAAGTATTTTTATTTTTATAGAAATAACTAGCCGTGCCCGCGGATTCTCACGCATGAAATTTATAGTCTATGTGTTATTCTGATGTATAAGCTATGTTATTGTAAAATTTAATCAAAATCCGTTCAGTAGTTTATGCGTGAAAGAGTAACAAACATCCATCCATACTCACAAACTTTCGCGTTTTTAATATTAATAAGAATATAATATTAATAATGCACATGCATTATTAATATGTAAAATGGTAAATTAGATGAAGCTACTGGATTGTTTTGATATCTATGCATGTAAACTGCTGAAATCATTAAAATCTTGGCAATTAGTTAGTCAGAATGATTTGTATAATTGTGAAAGTTCGTTTGTTTGTTTGTAAGCTTTTACACATTAACCACCGAATTTTTGTTTATAAAATTTTCTATCTATGGTAGGCAAATGATTTATATATGTGTTTGGATTTCTTTTTATCGCATTAAATGAATACATTTCCGTCACGTGGATGATTTTAAGTGTAAAAGTTTTACAACTAATTCTCACTGAAATATTCTTTATAGATTAATATTTAATAAAAATATTATTTTGCTCCTGGTTACTAGTCATTTGTTTATTTAAAAATTATTGATTAAAATGTAAAGTATAATATAAATATAAAATATGAATTAAGTGAAAGGGATTACTGTATAATTCAGAAAGTTTACATATAATTTATGCCTTGCCATTGAATATTAAATTATACAGTAAACTCCTCATAAACGGGGCCCAGCTGGGCCCCAACTAAACGCACTTTGAGTATCACTGTACCTACATACTATTACTTTATCCGTGCTGCAGTGAGCTAATACAGAAATTAAAATCCTTCCATTCGCAGCTGGCAGATGTGTAACTACCAATCCTACCAAAACTACCATCGACCCGGAAGATTTGATCGTTATACTTGGTAAGAAGTCCTTGCACTCTGTGAGCGGAAACGAAAAAGTTTATAAGGTTAGTAGACAAGACACACACCAATACAAACAATCATGTATAACAAATATTGGTATCATGCAAGGAATCGAACCCACGAACATCGGAAGCAAGGCGGTATGCTAAACATCTAGACCACCGACATCCAATGATAACATAACGACCTCGGTGGTCTAGCGGTTTGGAACACCGCTTTACTTCCGGCGGTCGCGGGTTCGTTCCTCTCACGATGCAAACATTTGTATTCATGAGTATGATTGTTTGTATCGATCTGGGTGTTTTCTATGTATATTATGTATGTATTTTAAAAAATCTATCTGTGTATTCTATATCAGTTGTCTAGTACCATAACACAATCTCTGCTTACCGTGTGACTAAATGACGCCGTGTTAATTGCTCTGAGATATTATTATTATTTTAATACATTTATTTATTTTTATTCATGAGCAGTCTACTAAATTTTTGACTATTCCATTTACGATTAACCCTAAATGTATTTTTTCAGATAAAATCAATAATTCTACATGAAAATTATATAATAAAAGATGGCGTCGTTGAGAATGATTTAGCTATACTTGTGTTGAGGGAGCCGGCTGATTTTAACAAGGACGTAGGCGCCGCTTGTATGTTTGGTGAACAAGACATCATTATTGATTATCAGCAAACGGGGGTTAGTAATTTATATTACTTTTTACTAATATCACAGATAATATAATATTGGAAAGAAAGAAGAAAGAAAAAACTTTTATTGTCAAACGTAATTAACAAACATTATTATTAACTTAACTAACGAAAAGGTTAGCGACATCGCAGAAGACCGAAGAGCTGGCAGCTACCTCGGACAAAGAATTAGTCTAGCCATTCAAAGAGGGAACGCTGCCAGTATCTTCGGAACGTTACCTAAAGGGACCCCTTTTAATAATATATTTTTTTAGTCATCATATTATATATTTTTTTTAAGCTTTTTAATTTTAGGTTCTTAGTTGTACAATTAGGTTATGTAAATACTAGTAATAAATAGAGAGATTATTAACTTATATATAAACAACATACATACTAATATCACAGATAACATAATATGCTAATATTATAAAAGCGAATTTGCGGCTTGTTGCTTGCGGCTCACCTGATGGTATAACCGCAGACCAACCGCAAAACCAAATAAATTGCATGCTTTGCCGGCCTTTTAAAAAGGTCTTTTCTTGGAGGTTTCAATATCGTATCGGTTCGGAAATACCATTGCTGGAAGGTGATTCCACAATGTTAATAAATGGCTATAATATGTAGTATTAATAATTGTATTATATTAAATAACAGTTGTGCCCGTGGTTTCATCAGCATGAAATTGTAAGTTTCATCAAAATTCGTTCAGTAATTTTTGCGTGAATGACTTTACGTTCCATTCATGTGTACTGACAAACTTTCAAGTTTACAATAATTTACAATAATAATAAGATTTACAAATGAAGCATTAAAATCATTATTATCATCCATCTGGTCAGTTTTAGTCAGTCTAATCATGAAATATGGTATATAGAATATATTTGTTTCTAAAAATAAATATAAATTACACTAATCAACATTTCCATCCACTTTACACAATGGTCACTTAGCGCCTGCCGTATTGGTCATAGCGAAGATACGCACTACAATTTCTCTCTGCTAGTGAAATGTTGCTACGCCCTTTTCATTAGGCGCTAACAAAAGAAATATTTTTATTCCAGACTACTGCATGGAGCCTTTCTGGGGACTTAACGCCAATATATTTTGATAAAGAGAAAAGTAGAGCTTGTAACCAGGAGAATAAAGTGGAAAATACGTTTTGCGCTACTTACGGCGATGGTAAGATGTAAAATAAAATACATAGTTTCTTTTTGTTTACTACTGTCCGATTGTGGCTGAGATAAATAACAGGTGCTTTCCTTGAGAGTTTCTGTTATTTCTAAAGATAATGTAAGTAACTGTGTAGTATGTATAAGTCTAGTGACGTGGGTAAATTAACAGGCAACGAAATGAGAATGTATTGTAGGAATTTTATTTAATTTATGGTTATTTGTCTTTAACTAAAATAGGGCATTATATCAAGTTTGTTCGTTCTACTCTTTATATATATATAAAAGTAGGTGTAACCTATTGTCCGTGTGCAATACAGCATATATTACTTGCTTAGATTAAGCTGTAGCTGTTAGCTTAACTTAGCTAAGTTCTTAAATCGGTTAAATATTTTTTTAATTTATCCACAAACAAACAAATGAACGAACATACAAAATAAAGTCGTTTCTCTTTATGTTTATAACAAACGAGATTGCATTAAGCGATAAGGCCCCTTTTTAGCATATTTATAAACACTTCATTTTTTTTTAAATAGTTTACTGTGCACATAGTTTTATATTGTTATTATTATTAAAAAAAATGGTTAAGAGTAAATAATAAAAATTGAAATACTTTTTATTAATTTTTAATCAAAAATTGTACCTACTTAATTATAATTTTTTTTGCAGATGTAGCATTATGTCCCAGTTACGGAGGTCTGCACGCGACAAAACACACGGACAACAAATGGTACCTGCACGGTATTCGAACTGGGGACCCGACGGCGAGAAGGATATGCGTGGAGAGAGACATAAAGTACACCGCTCTGATAAATTTCATTGATTGGATAGTGGAAAACATTCAGAATAATAAAAACTAATTTATAAGAAGAATTGTGGTTTTTTTAGCATTAATGTACTAATTTGTGTAAAGATGATAATAATATTTTATACTCCCATCTTTTACAACATTATCTATACATATAAATAAAATTGGAGTGTCTGTTTGTAATATTGAAATAGCCGTTTTTTACTACATGCATATGAAAATAAATATGGTAAATACACCAAAATATCATATTTTACTATTTTCGTCTGTCTGTCTGTCTGTTTCTTCCGGCTAATCTCTGAAATGGCTGGACCGATTTTGACGGGACTTTCAGTCAGCTACTTGCCAATAGGCAAGTAGCCTGCGACGGCCTGAGCAGAGGCAAAAAAATCTGCTTGAAATTGGTCAGACAGGGGTACCCAAGCAAACGACGGTTGGCTACCTCTGTCTCACAGCAGACGATTATTTAGAAAGTCGAACAAAAATATAAGAAATAAAGAAAATCGGATTGAGCAATCCATTTTATTAACATTACGAGATATGAAGGCCCGTTATGAATTTTGAATCTATTAATTACAGTGTGAATTAGGAATTTATTTGAATTGTAAATTGTAAATTAGTGTAATGAATTATTTATTCCACGGACGAGATATGGATGGTCTACAATTAGGTATTACGATAGAAGTTTTCATTTTATTATTTACTAGCTGTTACCGCGACATCGTTCGCGTGATTTTTCTGAATTAAAAGTTACTCCTTATTACATCAGCTACTTGCCAAAAAAAAAGTCTTGTCAAAATCTGTCCAGCCATTACAGAATTAGCCGGAAGAAACAGACTGACTGACAGACAGACAAAAATTGTAAAAAATGTTATTTTGGTGTATGTACCGTATTTATATTCATACTAGCTTTTGCTCGCGGCTTCGCTCGCTTTAATTTATCCCTTTAGGGGTGGAATTTATTAAAATCCTTTCTTAGGGATTGCTACGTCATAGTAGCTTAATGCAAGCAAAGTCTCAGCCCGATCGGTTTAAAATTGACGAAGTTTCATACAAACTTTCATCCCCTTGGGGGTAGAATTAATCAAAATCCTTTCTTAGCGGATGCCTACGTTATAACATCTACCTGCATGCCAAATTTCAGCCCGATCCGTCCAGTGGTTTGGGCTGTGCGTTGATAGATCACTATATCAGTCACCTATGAGTTATATCAATATATTTAGATGCATGTAGTAAAAAACTATTATTTAAATATTACAAACAGACACTCCAATTTTATTTATATGTATAGATTTAGCATGGTAACATAAAGTCTATATTTTTATCATTTAATATAATAATCATTTAAAAAGCTGTACTCGTCCGCGTGGAATTTAATTTAATTTTTGTATATATATTCATATGCATGTAGTAAAAAACGGTTATGTCAATATTGCAAACAGACACACCAACTTTATTTATATGTATAGATTTAGAATGGTAACATAATGGCTATATTTTTATTATTTGATCTGAAGCATCCCTTATCAAGAGCAGGCATTAAATGAACGATGATTATATATCTCATCTCAGGTACAGCATTACTTGACGGGTCTTACTAATTATATCGGATCTAACAGCTAACATTGATTAGTGAAGAAATATCAAAGGAAATTTGTTATCTATGCCTACGTGTTACTAGGGTTGCCACTATTTAGTTTAGCGAATTTTATTATTACCTGTACTCGCGAATTCGTCCGCGTGGAATTTAATTTTATTTTTCTAACATAAAATAAGATTTCTAAAATACAAGTAATAAGTTACTCCTTATTACATCAGCTACTGCCAAAATGAGTCCCGTCAAAATCGGTCCAGCCATTTCAGAGATTAGTATATTCATATGCATGTAGTAAAAAAACGGTTATTTCAATATAACAAACAGACACTCTAATTTTATTTATACGTAGATATAGATTGTGCATATACCAAGATTGCAAGATTGTAATTGTAAGTATTGTATTTATGTTATTTTTATATTTGGTATTAGCTGTACTCAAGACTTCGTCAGCGTGGAATTTAACTTTATTTTTCTAAAATAAAAGTAGTCTAAGTTACTCCTTATCATATATATACATCAACTACCTGTCAAAAAAACTCCCGTCAAAATCGGTCCAGCCATTTCAGAGATAAAAATTTTAAAAAATTTTTTTTTGGTATATGTACCGTATATGTATTCATATGCACGTAGTAAAAAATGATTATTTCAATATTACAGACAGACACTCCAATTTTATTTATATGTATAGATTGTTAGAAACATATACAATATTTTTTGATATGGGAATTAGCTAGACAGAGAGAGAGCTCTGTCTAGCTAATTCCCATATCATTTGGGGTCGACTCTCCTTGTCTTTCTTCGGCAGGTACATTTATGGTAGGTCGTCGAGTTGGTTGCTTCCGTTTTCTTCACGTCGTTTTTGACAACGGATTGGCCAGTGAATAGGGGTCTCTCTCGACTCTTTGGGCCTGTATTAAGTTTCAGGATGTACAGATAAGATAATATTGTATATTGTGCATATACCAAGATTGCAATATTGTAATTGTAAGTATTGTAATTATGATATTTTTACATTTACATATGAATTTATGTAATAGTTACAATACTTTCTATGAGAGGAACTATAAATAGTTTTTTCATGTTTTTTTCAAGATTCAAATCGTTTTTTGTTTGCCACAAATTTAGATATCACAATTGAGATTCATACAAAACGATATGTCTTATATCCGTGTCTGATTGATCCCCCGTCCAATTTAGACGGGGATCGAAATTACGACGGCCTGAGCCGAGGTTCGAACCCTTAGTGGTGCCCTCAGACTAAAGTCGTATCCTTCAGGCAGGACTTGACCTTTAGCTTTTCCATAAGTCCTTCCGCGGGTTTGGGGTCTCATCTGCTCTCACCCCGTATCGTCCGATGAAGCTGTAAAGCCCAGCGCGGCGAGCAGCATTAGAGTAGTCAGAAAAGAAGGTCATATAAGATTTTATATAAAAAAAAATGTCCGCAAATATTTGTGGCAACCCTAGCATGTTGGTTATTGTATGTGGCCCTTTTTGATATGGATTAGAGACGTATTATTTATGGCCGTAATATTATTAGGGTCTTAGGATCTTCGTAGTATATTATTCTTTTGGGTTCTGTACTTCAAAAGGTAATGTTAGATCCTTTTCATCCACTATAGGGGTAGGAGGAATTGAATTTACCAAGAATTAGAAATGCTGATGATTTTTTTATGTAATTTGAGTTGCAGACACGTTGACGTTTCAATAGGATGGGAAGTGGTAACTGTCGTTAATATAATAATAACTGCAGGACAATTCACACAGCGCCATCTAGTCCCACGCTAAGTAGAGCTTGTGTTATGGGTACTAGACAACTGATATAAATGCATATTTTATTGTAAAAACATTATTTTTATTATTTTTTTATTTATACATACATTTTTTTGTAAAAACATAATATATATATACCCAGAGCGATACAAACAATCATACCCATGAATACAAACATTTGTACAGTGCGAGAAATCGAACCCGCGACCATCGGAAGTAAAGCGGTGTGCAAAACAGCTAGACCGCTGAGATCGTCATGAGGTGTACCAAATTTAATGTTGTTTTTGTAATAGATATACATATATACTGGCAACTGTGTACCGTCTTTCTTTCACAATAATGTTTTACCAATAAATTACCGATTAGGGATGTGAAAATAATATCGACTATACGTATTTTTTGTACTTGACTTTAATATTCCAAAAAGTCGATTATTTTTTGGGTATTCGTCCTTTTCCAATTTTTCAAAAACAAAAGTTATGAGTTAGAAACAATTAAAATCATCCATAGAGATAAAGAGGCCCTAATAATAGAGTTATAGAAAAATAATCGATTTTATGGTAGTAAATATTTTTATTTTACTTCTAAATATAACGTCACATCACTACTACGGATTATACGAACGGTTAGGTATTTTTGTTGCCGACTGTATCCACTTAAGGAAGAAAATCGATTTGTATGCAAATACCAAGGATAAACTACTTAGGTGTCGCCTCAGTCACACTGATAATGCGTGCTGCATAATAAATACTACACTTGTACTTCAAGTGGACTTCATTATTTCTTATTTATTGGATGTCCTTTCATCATCATTATCATCTCAGCCCGGAAGAGGTCCACTGCTGGACATAGGCCTCCCCCAAAGATCTCCACGACGATCGGTCCTGCGCTCGCATGTCCTTTATTATTCTTTAATAGTATTCAGCCAAACTTCTATCCAGATATAACTCCATGAGATTCTATGAACATTTATATATGTAGTTTATTTTATTTATATGTAATCCATAAACTTATATATTTTATATGGGTATATTAGTATTTTTATATATTCGCATATGTATATATATTATATATTATTTTTCTGTATCTATTTGTTATAATTTTTGTTTATTTTTCTTTTATTAATTATGAAAGTGCACCGTCTGAAACGCTGTATTTCAGTGGGACCTTGTAGAAATTAATTTAATATATATAAATAGTGTTACCTACTGCTGGCTGCGTGAACGTGCGCTGTTGGTGCTTCTGATAAGATGTTAGTGTATGCTATGATAATATATGGAAATGAAAATACATAGATAAAACAAAACAGTACGGACAGTTATACAGTGGAAATTTGATTTCCTATTAGAAATTAATTTTAAAATTCCTAATAGAAAACAACCCAGGTCTTGTGCTGAAAAACAGCGTTGCAGCGCTCCAGCCGTTGCAGCATTATGCTGAGCACGGACTTATTCAGCAGATACTTCGACAGGCATACACATGCACACACACACGGTAATTTGTATACTATTTTTTTTTTGTAATTTTGTTTCTGTTTGTTTTGCTTTTTTGTTTGTTTGTTTAATGTGTGTTTTAGTTTTTTCTTCTACTGAATAAATATCATTTCATTTTAAATTTCTTAAGTTTTTGTTTAAATGTAAATACAGATCATATAAGTACACGATACCTAAATGTATCGATATTGC